TTTTGCTGGAAATGAAATAAATGGTAAGAACCTTACTATGCAGTCATCTGAAGAACTGGACAAAGTTTACAGCTACGTACAAAAATATTTAGACCGGTATTTTAAAATAAACCCGTATATAAACATCCTTATGTCTTCTTCCTTGATCTAATACCCAATAGGTAAGAAGTTCATATTGGAAAGTATGACCAATAATGGGTCTATGCAGTAGTTCAGGATTGGCTAGGCATATTATAAATGAAAACCACTATAGACTTGAGGTGAATTTTCCAGCATAAAATCTAGGCATTTTCTTTTATATTATACACCCCATAGGTATATATACCACCCCCTGCATCAGTTACATTCTCTAATGCAGAAAGACCACAATTCAAAGGAAAGAAGGGATACCATGCCCCTCCACCCCCTGAATCTTCTTTGTTAATTAAAAAAAAGCAACAAATCTCTATCTCATTCTGGGCTCTCAGTTTTCTTCACCTACATGTACACTGACTATACTGACAGGGTTCTTTCGTTAACATGCTTGTTTGGAAAATACAGGCATATGCCCGGTCAAAGCTAGGTGAAACGCGCAAGTGCGACCTCACTGGATTTCCTTGTACGCATTTAACTGTCAATGAAAAGTGTTACAACAGGGACGATTTGCTGTAATGAAGAATCATTACAAACAAGATTATGAGTCATAAGCTACCCGAAAGTCACAAGTCTACCGGTACCTATTAAACAGAAGACTTACACTACATACAGAAGGGTTATGTATAATAATGAAGAGCTATGGAATTAATACTGAAGATATCCCGAAGAACAAAATACAGTTTAACATGACTCTCAATAACAAAACAGCACAGAAGGTGAAGTCTCACAACTTGCAACTCCCAAGAAAACCCAGAGATTAGTTATTCGAGCGTACAGAACATTGACACCCAACAAGAATAGTCACGTAGGTGATCAAATGATCCGAGACTTGGAGTACGGCCCAACACCATTATGTTTTAGCTGTTTTCATATAATTTATCTTTACCTGATGAACCATTAAAGACTGAACCTGGCGTTTCAGAACTTGCATTCTAGCTGTAGTGACAACAGAGCGGACATCGGGCACCACACTTTCACTCAGTATCTCACTGATGAGACGATGGTTTCTTTGGAAACGAGCTGTGGCTGTGTGCTTCATAGAAAATCCATCGTCGTAATCTGAAACAAGAGTTTGAAGTGCAACTGCTTTAATTCCACAAAATGAGGACCAAGTCCAATGACACTGTTCCCACATTACCACTAAATAAAAACAAAATAAAAACCATAACACCACTTGCTGTCATGTCATAAAGTTCATACTAACAAATACAGAACATCAGGTAATCAGAAAAAAGACAATGTGAGGACAGAACACCATTTACCCTGGCACAGCTGTAACAGCTATGATTTTATACGCATTTCCCACATCTGAAATTTGGATTGACCTAGTTATTTACTGCGTTGCTTTCCACATTTCCAGAGTAAGAGGGACTATTAATACACTGAATAAAAAGCCCCATTCCTGATTAACCATGTAACCAGAACAATATCCAGCACAAAATACCAACAGGAGAGTGACTCCTCTGTAAGTAAGCTTTGTAGCACAGATCAAAGAGACTTATTTTTTGAAACATTGAGGAATGAAAGTATGAAGCAGTGATACATGTTTACTCATCACTGAAAATTCATAGTAATGTAATAAGAGTATTCAATTTTTCTTTTTTGGTAAATGCAGTTCTCTAAAGAACAGTTACTGAAAAAAAACCCCAACACACTTTAGGAGAAAAAGTACACAAGCACATAGGTCAAGTGCTGGTCTCCTTATAAGCTTCTTGCAGAGAAAAGAAATTAAAGGAAGCCCAACATGAACTACACTGTCTTGTCTGACAGGCATCTAGAGGATTAACTACAAAGATCTAAGAATATTTCAGGTCAAGGATTTTTTTTTTCCTCTCCTATCAAATTAAAAGAGCTTCCACTTTATGGCAAGATACTGGACTTTGACAGTTTTAATCTAGTTACAGAATTTAACATGAACTACAGCATTATGGATTGTACTAGGTACCAATTTTAAAAGTAAAATTCGGTTTGATGCTACAAAGCAGAACAAAATAATGTGTTTTCCTATATCTAGCAGCACTCAAAAGCTTCCAGCCCACAGAAAACAGAAAGCTTCCTGTGCTGTGACTTTCTATATCTCTTCAAGGAAAGCAGGCAAAGCCTTTCAACATAATAAAAATCAAACCACAGTCTGCAGTTTTGGTATCAAGAACCTATCTACAAAACAGACTCAAAAAAATTTAAGTCAAACTAATTAGAATTTAAAGCACAGTAATTAAATAGCATTAATATCAGTGAGGAAACAAACTTAGAAGAAACTTCTGTGAGTATAATTCGTATTTAGTTGAGTATTAAAATGTTAAGCAACAAGTACGAATTATCTTCCAGAATGATATAATGTAGGAAAGTCCAGAAGTTGAATTTATTTTACATCAAGTTTTCCTAATGGAGATTACTCTCCAACCGTTCATATATCATCAACATATCATGGCAGAAAATATTACCAAAGAAGGTAGCTAGTTTAATGAAAGTTTCTATCTGCTTTATTTCAGTGTTATGTTCAATTTCTCATTGAGGTATCCGATTAAATGAAGTGAGAAGAGAAAACTAGTGGGAAGACTATAGATTTGCAAGAGACAAAGTACTAAGCAAATCGGTCTCCTTAAAGTTGTGTCTTTCTCCTCTTCATAAGATTCCTTTTACGCTAAAAGTTCTTGATCCTAGTGACATGCAGGATCAGACAGAAGCAACATTTCTGTCACAGAAAATAACCTGCTGTTTTGTCCCAGACGTAAACAGATGCAACTCGGGGCCTAGTGCAGCTGGTTCTGGCTGAGTTCACTTGGCCCAGGTAGCACAGAACAGAATACGAAGTCCCAAAATGCCAGCTACTGGAATGCTAAATGTATTTACATAAATTCTACAGTTACCTCACACTGGGGAGTTTGTCACGAGCTTTATCTCAAGGGTGTGCTTTTACAAGGGGGAAGAAAGAAAAAGGGTGTAACGGACTGAGTACATTTTTCACCCTCAGGTTTCAACAAGTATTTGGTCATGAATTTAAAAGTAGACATTAGGTGCATGTTTTCCCACTGGGTGGGGTGCACTTCCTTGCAGTCCAATAAACTTTCAGAATTTTCTCATCAACTTGCCAACAGCAAGGGTAACTTATTCTCTAAACAATCTCAAGTGACAGCTGTTGAACACATTCAAAGTTCAGGTGCTCTTAATCATACCAGAACTCTGCCTGTCAGAATTATGTGCTTCTGATGGAAGCACAAAACTCCATTCAAGCTGGATTAAATCAGGCATCTAAGCCTTTTATAATGCATATGTTAAAGCCATTACAGAGCTTTAAGCAGACTTATTTGTTTTGAACTGTAAGCATTACTTCACAGGAAATTAAGCGTTGGAATAACTTTCGCCACTGGCTTGCCACCTTAGTTTTCGGAAACAAAGTCAGCTGTTAGCTGTATGAAATAAAATGTGGTAATGAAAATCAGTATTAAAGGTACCAAAATAGAAAGGAAGTCACGTTAAACACTGTGAAACTACTACACTGGTAGTTTTCCGTATCTGGCATGCGTTTCTCTATACTGTTGGTCCTGTAATGAGACTGTCTCACTGGACGCACACACAAGTTCCTTTCTGCTTACCATCTGGATCTTCTGCTGGCTGTATACTCATGTAAGGTTCACCTTTCTCCATGCGTGACTGCCTTTGCCGGCTTTCTTCTTCTAACGCAGCCTCAGCACGACTTTTTGCATTGATGTAGGCAAGGTATGCAGGAGAGTTATGGTAGGCCTTCATGGACTCATTGTACTCTATCTGAAATGTGACCAATATTGTTTGATTGCACCATTGGACGATTTCAGACTTGACATAACTGTAGTCTGTATAACTCAAATTGTAGTTACACAGACAAAGCTATTTCGAATCACCTGGCTGATACACAAGTGACCATATTCTCTCAGTCTTTCTTTTTACAAATTAGAACTTCCATAGTCATTCATGTTTTAAGAACACTAGCTGGGCTTTTACGTACATTTCGGTTGTAATACCTGAGAAGTCTTACGATAGCTTTGTTTTCTGAGATTTAAAAACCAAACACCTCAGAACAAGGCATTTATGATCAGACGAACGCTGGTAAGATAAAAAAAATGAGTTAACTTGAAATATTCTCAATAATTCTCTGGAGTTCTAACTAGATCTTTGATTCTGATTTCTTATCCTTCCTTATTCCAGCATGTCATGAACCAGCTTTCAAAATAACTTATGATTTTTCCATTCTTTGATCCATCCCAGCAGTGGGATGATACGGAATGCTGCAGCCAGACTACTGTCTCCTCCTGGTAGCAGGACTGCATCACTATTTTCACCTTCTTTGAAGTGTTTTTTCCCTTTGAACTGTTTCCTTCAATCTCCCTTTTAAAATTTGCCAAGTCTAGATTTTGTACAGTGATTTGAGATATTTGCAATGAAAAATGAGATATAATCTACAGTATTGTTAAAAGTACCTAAATGTCTTGTTTTCTTTGTGATTAGGACTGGAATCCTTCTACCTAGGCACTGTAAAGTATAAACAAGATGGCCCCTGCCCCAAGGAGCTTACAATCTAAACATCATTACCAAGTTAAAAAATAGAATTCCTTGATTTTTTTTTTTCCCCCAGCTAAGAGCATCCAGCTTTGAAGTACTTCTCTATTGACTTGGAATAAAAACAGCTTAGATTTGACCAGGTTATACACAGCCTCAGATGCCTAACAGGTTTAAGCACAGCAGCTGGACAGTTTTCCCTTTGTACCTTAAGATCACAATAACAGTCTTGTAAAGGTCCTCAACACTTACCACCCTAGACACGAGGTAGCTGTCATCTTTCGTCATGAAGATCAATAAAAACAAAACCGAACCACAAGAAAACCCTAGAAGTGGTAGCATTTTTCTATTAAGAAACAAAGCACTATGCCATAGCGTGGAGTTACACCAGATTACACCATGAAAACCAAACCCTACGTGACTGGAAGTCTTTTATGAACACGTTCATGACAATAGCAGTAGTTGCAGAGCACCAGTTTTGAAAGAGGATTTTGGTGTTGAGACAATCTTTTCAATACTGATGTTGTACAATCAAATCCATTCATTAAACAGTTAAAATAGACACTCAATTATAAATACTTCATTTTGAATTAGGTCTAAAAACTGACCAGTCACAGTTGATGTACAGTTATTTAAAAAAAAAATCTAAAAGACGTGTCAGGACATACTTCCATTTAAGTTACATACAGGGGTCTCGTGAATGCCTCATACACCACTGCATGGGTAAGATGAATTTTTCTTCTCAGACCAGTTCCTAGAAGAATCAGCTGTAATAAACATCCCAGATTTCTTCCATTTACCTTTTCAGCTTCATATTCATTCAAATACTCTTGCTTCTCTTCATCAGTGAGATCTCGCCACATTCCTCCAATAATCTTGCCAATTTCCCATAACTTCAAATCAGGATTGGACGCCTTCACTTGGTCCCAGACCTTAACAGAAACAGCTGGAGCTTTACTAATGATATCTAAATACTTCCAAATTAAACATTTTATATTGTCATCTCAGTGTTCTTTCTGGAATCACCATGAAAAACAGGATTAAGTTAGGAATGAGTCTGGCTAAACTATCTCGATTATTTTCTGGGGCAGGAAGTCAGTAGGAAGCCATCTACTGAAACAGGCAATTGCTGAAATGGCTTTGGTTTCATGAGAATATTGCCTTTAACCCTCTTAATTCTCTTCTTAAATGCACATCGCTGCATCTCTGGGAAAAAAAAAATGCTACTGAGTAAACACATCCAGCAGTAGATTATGATAAAGAGCACTGAGCCTTTCAGATCAGAATGTAACATTTCAAAATATTTTTCAGTCTTGCTGATCAATTTGAGTTCCAACAAGTTCTGACTCCACCAAAAAAGTTTCTAACTTTATAGGGAAAAAAAAAAAAAAAAAAGAAAGCTGCCAGTGTTATTTCTTGCTGCGCCACTTGACTTTTTTTTTGTTGATGGTTTTTTGCCTAAGACAGACATGCTGGTAAAGATACTTTACCAGAAGTGGAAGAAACTCCTTCTGGCTCACCCGCTTCAGACAGGCTGACATGCCCTCCCCATGCCCCATCAGATTTCAGACTCCACAAGAGTCTCTCTCCTACTTTCTGTCAAACAGTTCATAGAATAGCGAAGTAAACCGTGCCACAGGCTAGGTTGGTGAAGGAGAACATGCAAAGTCCACTCATTGCTACTCTTCAGTCCAGCTACAGCACTGTACCAAGCTCAGTATACCGCAAGGAATACTTCCTTTATATAAAAAAGTTCTGTCAGTAAGTCACAGGCACTTCTCAATGTGGCAGGGTGGATCCTTGTCAGCAGAGACAGTGGTAGTAATTATCATTTTAGAGAAAACTTTTCCCCCCAGAAATTGGCAACTGTATGAACAGACTACTGCTGCCTTTATTCTGAAGGGCAATCAATGCATCTGTACTTTACAATTCCCTTAAAAGAATGTGCAGGCTGTTAGAAGTAAAAGTTTAGAAGCTGAAACTAAGATAATAGCAATTAATTGTTAGCACATACAAACACTAACTTTTATTATTACTTGTTTGACACTGTATACCCACCTTCCGGCTGTACCTCATGTAGGGCATCAGGGGCTTGTCTGGGGGTTTGGGGGGCTTTGGAATGGTAATACCAGAGGAAGCCTATAAAAGAACCGAATAAATCCATTTGTTAATGTGATCGCTGGCCAGTTTCCATATACACTAGTTTTGGAAAACACTCATTCTTGTGCAGTTAACACAAACAAACTACACCCCCCTACAGCCTCCCCGCCAAGAGAAACAAGCAACGTCAGCAAAAAAATTACCCAAACTGTGAACAGGTACTAACTACAGCTGGTCCTCACAGTAATATTTTTCCAATTTAAGTTTGTCCTTTCATCTGTAAGTTTACAGAGTAGTAACTAGATAAATCTTCAAAAGGGCTCCATATTCTTAAAACTGAAACACACAGCTCAGAAATTTACATGGAAACACCAATCCCAACAGGTTGCTTTTCTCACTTCTGATGAGCAATTTATTGTACCTGTTTTGACAGATTTACTGTGGCTACTGTACAGGTGAAAAAAGATAAGGAGAAAGTTCAAGATCCTGACGTTAGAGACATATTTTCATATTCAAATCATTTTAGTAATATATTTATCTGCAAAATATGTCAGTGGTAATTTGGAGCCAATTAAACTACTCACTGTAAGAGGAAAACAACCCTATGCACCTGATCTGTCAATGTGTGCATTATTTGTATCCAAGCTGCACTTAATTGTCCAAATTAGCCTGTAATATCCTTCTGTGCTCTTATCTTCCTTTAGGTTTGTACAATGTCAAGCACGTTGCTCGCACTAAACAAAAGGACACTGAGCACTAACCGTGGCTGATTGAAAGTTGCTGCATCCCCTCTGGTCCCCTCAGTCTACAAGACACCTGACAGGGTTTTCTCCTAAAATAATGCAGTAACATTACAGTCCCCGTCAACTGCAGGTTCTGAAAACCTCTACTCTTCAAGCACTTACACATGCTAGGAGTTCCATTATACGTTAAATGGCAGCATTTTCATAAAAATATAAGGCAGTTTCAATATTTTTCAGGACTACGGCCACAGATAAGCAAATACTTGGATTTGGCCAAGAAGGCTCATGTTCAGTATTCAGCTTTCAAATTTTTCCTCTTGATTTTTTTGTTTTGCTGAATTTATGGAGCTCTATGAAACAATGCATACAGAATTGTGTATAGATATAAATAATGTACATGAGGTATATGCATTACCAAAATGTATACATATATACACATACAGATGGATTTGAAAAACATTAACGGAAATTGTTTAATGCTTTTAAATTAACAGGAATTTAAAGACACCATACATATATTGATATATGCATGGCAGAGAAGGCTGTGTATGCTTATGACATACAGAAACAATGAAAGTTCTCAGACAAAACCTAACTTATTCTTGTATAAGGAAAAAAGTATGTTTGTTCAGTCAAGTTCCAGCTTGTATGGGGAAGGTCTTTTCTGTAAATGTTTTAACAAATCAGATGAACTTCATATATGAAGTTTGAAAGGTTTATGAGAGGCATAAAAAGAATACACTTCATTAATAGCACCGTATATTTGTTCCTTGAGAAATCTTTATATCACATTCCAAACTAATCTGATGTTTTGACACAGAAAGTTTTACACAAAAACCCTTAAAGTTACGAGAATTACAGAAATCTAAAAAAAAAAATCAGGGATTTACTTTATTTCTGTTGTGTTAGTTATGAAAATGTTACATTTCCAGTCTATTTTTGTTTCCTAACTGCATCCAATGCTCAGGACTTTATCTGTACTTGAAACAAGCTGTCACCTCTCTCATCACTTGACTCTATCTCACTTTGTTTACTCTATGAAAAATGAATGTAACATCCATTTTCCACACACTGATAGAGTACGTAAGATCTGAAAGGATTCTATTTTATTATCATCACACTTTTATTGAAAAAAAAAATTTCTGAACTTGGGACTTTGCATTTATTACCAGACTAAGACTGGAAAGAAAAATAAAGGCTTGCATCTCTTGCATGGCTCAACAGTACGATGCAACTACTATCAACGATCTCCAGTTTGCAAAATGTTCTTCCTTATTTTTGTGCTAATAAACCTCAATAAAACGAGCAGTTCCCTCCCTCCAAGAATTTGTACCCATGCTACAGAACTTTTCCCTAAGCACGCGGTGGTCACTGAAGACCACAAAGTCTGTCTTTCTGGAGTTCTGCATCATACACGATTACCACATTTTTTTTTTTCTGCTGAGTAGAAGTCCATTTTCCTGCAAAAGGTTTCAGAGTGAAAGGGAAGGGGTAGGGGTGGGGAATAAGAATCAGAAGTATTTTTTTGTTTTTATAAAGAAGCGGCAGCAGCCAAGATTCAGAAGAACCTAACTCTAAAGCCATTTCTGGTCAATTCCTGTTGTTTGCCAGATGATGTAATAGTTGATTCTCCTACCGTGACCCGGCTGTTGGTGCCCGGGTTCCCTCCCAGCCTGTAGTTGTTGTAGGCCAGATGGCTGTATGGATTGTATCCCACAAACCCTGGTGTGCTGGGCATTTGCTGATGGAAACAAATGAGACAAAAACACGAATGAGAAATGAGCTCAAACGAGGAAAACACAGAAATGAAAATGAACTGCATATGGCATGCAAAAGCAACCAGAATTTAAACAAGCAAATGAGGTGTAGCAGTTGGTATCTTCTCAACACACAAAACTTACTCCAGTATAAACCTATTAATGAAACAGGATTTTTAAGCAAATGTGTCACTACAAATTTCTGTCTGAAGTTGGTGATTTTATTTCTATTAAGTGTGTAACTCATTTAAACAAATCTTCTATAAATCCAGCTCATGGCTAATAAAATTTTCCAACAAAAGCCACCAAATAATTCAGAAAGACTATTATATCCAAAGGGTTAAGCTTACAAGGCAACACAGCACACAGTAATCAGGCAGAAATCCCTAGCATCAACATTTACTGTACCAATGAAAATCCCTGTCTGCTCTTCTTCCCATCCTTCTGCCTTTCCAGCAAATATTACACTGTCAATAAATAGGAAAAGAAAAAAAAATCTCCCAAAGCACCATCTGTGCACAACTACCAGTATCTGAAGACTTTCCTGGTGGTTTGCAAAATTTAAATGTTTTGGGGAATTGGGATTAGAAAGCTGGGAGAGAAGACAATTCACAGATATCCTTCTGTTATGAGGTAGGCTGCAGACTGACAGAGTTGAGGAACCACTGCAATAAAATCTACAGGTTAGAAACTATAACTGGTCTTAACAGATCACTGAATCCAAGACAATTTCAGAAGTAAATCAACACATCTTCATTCATTCTTGAATCCATTCGATTCATTCTCACCTCAGTAATGTAGAGAAGAATCTAGTTTCTTTACAATCCCTTCTTACCCATCCTCTACATACAATCAAGTATCAGAAAGTTCACTGTATTCCCCTCCTCACATAAATCTCTCTCCAGCCTTTTTCCATTACCCCCCACTTCCCAATCAAATTTAGTTAGGAAAAAATGGATCAACTATGTAATAGTAATTGTGATCAAGTCCTGACTGTGGTGGTCCTATCATTCCGTTAGGATTCATGATAGCCTGTAGTGTTTCCAGACATTTAAGTGTCATCCACACAGTGTCCCACTCTTTAGTGGCACTTTGGCCCTAATAAGAAACGCTTATTCCAATAGTCTTTTAAAGCTATTTGCTGACTGGACCCATTCTAGATTACACTTACAAAAATTCTACAAATGGGTTCAGGACTCCAAGAACCAAGGTATGACAAATACAAACACTGAACGAAAATAACCTATAAGCTAAACTACATTAACTTGTGAAGTTTTCAAGTATATGTAGACACACTGTAGTTAGTTTATTTCTAAACATACAAATACAGAGTAAGTTTATCCTTTAACAGTCAGCCTTCAAATATACATTTTATTGCCAAACTTTTTAAACTCATTCACAGCAGTTGACATTTACTCAGTTCGTATGCCTGTGATCATGACATACACATTCACTATTTAATAAGACGCCATTTTACTAAAGTTTTCTGTATTACCATAACAACAGGTTTTGAATATGTTGAACTACACCTCTTCAATAAAATCAGATGACAATTGTAATCTCCGTCTGCTTAATTCTTTATTTCTGCAAGACAGGATTTAAATGTTACAAGGGAACTACCTTGCATTACACGGAGAATTGTTACTTCAGCTATAATACTGTAGTTATGAGAACTACCGGTATTTTGTTGATTGTAGCAACTGGCTGTGGAAGAACAAGCAAGGTTATTTGTCTACTTTTCTTTTATGACTTGCATTAACAGAGCACAGACCATCGTCTCAAGGACAACTGTATAAAATACAAGTAATACAGAAGATGCTTGAAAGACAGGTAATACATGTCACTAGTTGCAGTTTTGAAATTTGTTTCATGTACCCTTCTGAAGGCTTCTAACTTGGCTAAAGAATGTACCACGTCAATATAGACCGTTAAGAACATCTGTATCCATGCTACGTCCCACAGGAATCACGCATGAATATGCACAGCTCTCGATGCAGGAATCCAGCTGTAAGAGTGGATGCCATCATGTTCCTTCCAATACTGGCACAAATCAATGATTAAGTTGTGTGCAAAATGAAAACTCTGAACAAACTAAGCAAATAAAGTTTTATTTATGTAAATTTTTAAGAACATAACTTATATTTATACATGATATCATTTTCAAGCCTCTTTAAATGTGAAGTATGACACAACAAATTTGGACGATCACATTTCATCTAAATCCCATCCTGCAGTTTTCATCTCAGATGCAGAGATCAGGGACACTCTACTGGGTAACAGTTTAAAATTTTCTTTTGGTAAAAAAATTTCACTATAGCATCTTTGCTCATTCTTCTGTACAAGAGGTTTGTATTTTCTCATGTGAATACGTTACTCCTAAAATGCAAGCTATTTAGAAATGTAAAGGCTACAGAAGAGGTGCATTTGCTTTCAAATGCTTTCCTGACCGCAGCATACTGGTATTTCAGCACCTTTTTATACATGCGTGAATGCAACTGGACATGAATCAAAGCTACTGTTCATGTTTTCCTGTGTCATTCCATACCATTTTACTAGAAAGTAAAGTATTTCTCATGCCATAGATGCCAAACTACCAGTGATTTCAAGAAATTTGAATAAGACTGTCATCACAAGCATTTCATTATTCTGACCCAATGTAACAGTGTTTTGCATACTCCTGCATTCCACTGAAAATCAGCTAGGTACAACAGAAACATGAAAAAAACCGCACTGTTTGCCCATGATTTGGGCACAAGTTGAGTGGGAAGTTTTAGAATATATCGGTTTGTTCTTAAATATTCCAGTGTACTGTTGCAACTCACTGTGAATATAATTTTAGACCAACTGACTGCTTACAGAAAATTAAGTATCTGCAGGATCTAGCCTCAAAGATGAAACAAGTTTATTCAGCTTCTCTTTCACAAACTGCTTTAAAAAAAAAAGAAGAGATTAATTTAAACAACATATGTCATATTAATAATGAAATGCAACTAGTCTGTGTTTCCAATACAGGAAGGTGATTCAACTCCATAATTATTGCTCTGGTTAAGTTATTAAAGGCTATATTACCAAATCTGTGTTAATGAGAAAAATCACTATACTTACGGTTGCAGGAGCTGGGGTAGGAGGTGGGGCGTAAGATGGCCTTTCTGTTAAGATATAAATGTAAGCAATTTTTTTTTTCTTGAAGATTTGAATGAATTCTTTATAAGGCATCTGCTGTGTCAAACATTTTTAAGTGATTTACAAAAACAAGACAGAAAACCTACTCTCAAAGACTTTGCATTTTGCCACTGAAGAGTGTAAAGCAAAGAACAGAAGAGAAAGAAAAGAAAGAAAAAAATTAAGAGCACGCCATTGCTATATTGGTAGCCTTTTATTTAGCCATAAGACTGAAGAATATGAAATCCATTTATATGCACATCAATTAAAAATAGGGTAAGCAAAAATGCAGTGAAACAGGATTTAGGATAAGCTGTGATATCTGGATTTTCTATGAAAACAATATACCAGAAATCAGCCACAGCAAGATTTAAGGCCAAGAGTTTGGTCAGAAATGACTATACCTCATATCATTCCTTTTAATGCAAGGAATCTCATA